TCCACCAGGTGTCCGCAGTGCACCAGCAGTCCCAGATCACCTGACCATCTGAGTCACCTGACCACCTGTTCGGTGTTTCTTTATCAGAGCTTTCTTTTCCATCCATGTGATCTTCATCAGGCTCTGATCAAAATGAGTTTTATATAATATGCTATTATTAATCTCAGTTTTCTGTGTGCCTGGACACTGATGACATCATGTAGTCCCTGCTCTGTGATTGGCTGCTGTTTGTGTCCGAGCAGACATTCAGAGAGAGTCACAGAGTTCCTGATGATGATGATGAAGATGAAGGTGTGTGTGCTGCTCCTCGTCCTCTCCTCGGTCCTCTGTGTCTCTGCTGATGGTGAGTCTCTAAATCTAATTAACGCTTGTATTTTAATTAACCTGTTAAAAATCCTTGTGAGCAAATGAACTGATTGTTAAACTTCACCAGCTGATTACTGAGACATTTGTCTTAATATGAGCTTTTCCACAACACAAACTTCCACAGCTGAGTCCACAGCTCTGAGTGCAGGTTCAAAGGATGAGGAGGCAGATAGTTTATAAAGACACAGTCAGGCTGCAGGGTGGGTTGTTTTTATATATGCCAGTCAGATTCTGTCGTATTTAATGATGATTATTTTAAAAAAGGGAATGAAAATACTAGAAACATTGAGGGCTGGATCTCTGTGTGTAGCCACACATGTGCCCGTATGGTGATTTCCTGTATGAATGACAGCAAATTTACATCAGGCTCAGTGTCAGGATTGTGATGTGGATGAGTCATTAATGATTTGTGTTTTTAATAAAACTGCTTCTATTTATTAGCAGTGGGCACATTCACATGTATAAAAGAGCACCAGATAAGCCCAGCAGAGTCCTGATCCTGCTCAGTCCTGCTGCTACACACCAGCAGACTCTGGGACTAGTGCTGGTTAAAGCTCTCTCTGTGCCCCAGGACTGATGCTGGTTCCCAGTAGCTGATCCTGATTGTGGACCTGGACCTGGTTCTGCTTCTGTCAGCTGGAAGTAAAGCTGCAGCTGCTGGAAGCTCTGTGTTTGATCCAGGCTGTTCGAGTCAGGCTGAATGTGAGGCTGTGGTGGATCTGCTGGAGTCATCATGTGTGTGTGTGCAAAGTCTTTACACCTGTCTACCACCAGGAACCGCTCAGGCCCAACCAGGTGAGCTGCTTCCTGATGGACCGGAGCCAGAGGACAACCAGGTGTGTGCTGGGAAACTGAGTCTCTCATTGCTTTGTTTGGCTGTAAGGCTGGAGGGGGCGGAGCTCTGTGGGTGTTTGTGTTCTTTTCTCAATCAATCTGTTTCCACAGTCATGTGATCGGTTTCTTCTTCCAAACCCTGTAATGACAGAGAGCTGCAGCTCTGCAGTGTGGGCGTGTGTTTACTTTGCTGTTAATAAAGTTAAGCAGATCAAACAGACAGCACACGCTGACCTCTGACCCCTGTGAGCAGCCAATCACAGCAGGCTGAGGAGTAAAAAAAAAACAAAGCCTGAGCTCATCCTGACCCATGATGAAGCTCTGGATCCTGAGCTGAGAGAGTCGGAGGTGAAGGTGAGAATCTCCTGAGTGTGTGTGCTGCCGACAGGTTCAGATGGTGCCGTCACTCACTGCTGGTGAGGGGCTTAGGTCAGATGAATAAGGTTATGAAGCTGCCTTTGGATGGTGCACAGAGAGCTCTGGAAGAGAGGAGAGAGAGGGTCAAATAGCTGAGTGGACAGCAAGCGTTATTTTCTGTGTTGCCAAGTTAAAGGCTTGGGGGGAGCAGGTGAGTACAGTCACCACACTGCTGAGGCTGATCTGCAGAGAACGGTGCTGCCACTCAAACCAGGCGTGTGAAGGACGGCTCAGCCCAGCAACCTCACCTGAGAGCTCTTACAAGCAGAGAGAAAACCCAAACCTGCCGAGTCGTGACAAAGCTACACATACAGAGACATTTTGGACTGGTGAAAATCTTCAGTACTGTAAACTGAACTTTGTAAAAACTGTTAGAACAAAAATTAATCACATTTCATATCCAAAAAGTTCAAAGGTACACTTTTCAGGGCTGCAAGTTTCTGATCGTTGTTATTTCCTTCATAGCCACAGTTCTGATCAGCTGAACAGGACAAACTGAAAAATAGAAACAGAAGAGCTCAGAATAATTAAAGAATGAAGACTAGTGTTACAGGTGTTTCAGTTAGTGTGTGTCTGTGGGCCGCAGCTGGGGCCAAACACCCCTCAGACTGCTGCTCACAGACTTACTGGAGCTCAGAAACACAGACTCACCTGTCCAAGTGTCTCGCAGCTGAATGTATGCTGTTTAGAATGAAGGTGTATGTCTGTGAAGGTTCTCAGTCATCCAGGTCATCGTAGTCCAAGGAGCTTGGAAAGAAAAGAAAAGCGTCTGGACTTCTTTAGGTTGCTTGAAGACGTTTCACCTCTCAGTCCCAGATTTAGGTTTTGAGATCCTTCCCAGACACCTTAACCTCACATCCTCCAGACGCTTTTATTTCCAATCTCCTTAGACAATGAAGGAATATATTTTCCTGTTGTTGAGATTGTCCCTGTGTTTTGTGCCTGCAGAGCTGCATTGTTACCATGACTACCCACCTGACACAGGTGAGACAGACGTGAAACACAGGTGAGACAAGCTCCGCCTCCTTTCCCCTGTTACCATGGTTATATCTTTCTCTCTGGAGGCTTCCTTGATGTCCGTCCACCACTCAGTGTCTGATGATGATGATGAAGAAGAGGAGGTGGGAGGTGCTCAGCGGGCGGAGCTGAGGCTGGCCATATCAGAAGACGAGGAGGAGGCGGGACCTTTCAGTGACCTCACAGCTCTGGTGATGAGGTATCGTCATGGATACCGGCGATGCTGTGTGCTGTTGTGTGTGGGCGGAGTCATCGTGTTCACTGCTGGTAAACAGATGCCAATCATTTTAACCGATTAGTCTCATCATGTGACTAAAGCGGGCATTGCTTCTCCCTTCCAGCGTTCCTGTTGGCTTATGGGATCTTCAGTGGGCGGTACCACTGCTCCCAAGCAGAGCAGGGGCATGAGCAGCAGCTGGGTGGGGCTAAAGCTCCTTCAGAAGGAGGGGCGGGGCTTTACTTGGGAGAGCTAAGATTGATGATGAGGAAGCTGCTACAGGATGAAGACATCCACAACACAGTCAGGTAATGCTCACAGCCACGCACCATAAAGGCACCAGATTATAAGGCAAAACAAAAACAGATCAATAAACTATTCTGATTCTGAAACTAGCGAGCTAACTTCCTGCTAACATCTAACTCATGGATGCCTGGATGTTAAACTTGATTGTTACACCTGGTAGAGCAGCAACGTTACTATTTTATTAACGATGAAAGAATTTAGACGGTTTGTACTGTTGATATTTGAGAGAATTAAAGGATTTTAAGTGCGCCTTATAGTGCGGAAAATATGGTAACTGAGTACAAGTACAAGTAGAGTTTTTCCAGCAGGTAATCAGGTGGTCAACAGAACATTCAAGAAGAAAAGATTCTGATATTGTTCAAGTCAAAGGTGAATCGCTGTAAAGTCACCTGTTTCAGAAGCTGTAGTATCGGGTCTTATTTAATAACTTCTGTGTGTGTTTGTGATCAGTCGCGTGAGCAGGGCAGCTCATCCTCCAGGCTCCTCGGAGGGTACCTCTCTGGCCTCAGAGATCCTGCAGCGCTTCAGGGAGCTGCAGATGGACCACACCTGGACCGAGTCGCTATACGCCACGCTGCAGTTCCCCGACAGGTAAGAGTCGGAGAAGCTCCCCCACATTCAGGACAGACCAGCGACAAAATGACCCATCATACACTTAACATGTCACAGGATACTTTTGGGTCTTAAATGGATGAATTGAAGCTCAGCAGCGAGTAAAGTCCCAGCACATCCTGGTTCTTTCACTTATTGAAAGAACCATTGCTTTGAACATGTGGTCAGGCTCTGGAGCTGATTTGGAACCAGCTGAATTAAAACTTTAACAAAAACCAAACCCACATTTACACACAGCTCAATATAAAGAGCTATTTAACATTTCAGCAGTGCTCTAATTTGACCACCAGAGGGTGCTACATTCATTTATTTGTGTGCAGGTCTCAGAGGAGCTCTCTGAGCTTGGTGGACTCTGCAGGTCGGGTCTCAGAAGAGATTCCTCTCAACCCTTCTGACTACTGCCCGTACAGCGCCACAGGAAATGCCACAGTGAGCCAACCAGGAAGGAAGTATCTGTCACCATGGTAACCAAAGTCCCAGTTACTGATGTATGTCTCTTTGCAGGGGGGTGTGGTCTATGCCAACTATGGCCGACCGGAGGATTTTAAATGGCTGAAACGTGAGGACGTGTCTGTGGCTGGCTGTGTGGTGGTGATGCGTGTTGGGGGCGGGGTCAGTTTTGCGGAGAAGGTCTGGTTGGCTGAGAAGAACGGGGCGAGCGGAGCTTTGATCTACCCTGACCCTGCTGATGTGCCGCAGGACCCTCGCCGCCTTGGCCTGAACACACACACTGCTGTGTCTGAACATGTAACACGCACACAAACAAACATTATCCACGTCTCCTGGCCAATAAGCATCCTCATCTCCCTTCTGTTGTCCAATCACAGGTCCACCTAGGGTCAGGGGACCCCTTCACCCCTGGCTTTCCCTCCTTCAATCACACTCAGTTCCCTCCCATTCAGTCCTCCGGTCTGCCACTCATTCCAGCCCTGCCAATTACTGCCACTGTGGCCTCCAAGCTGCTTAGGTAAGCTCCACCCCTCAGGTAACCTGCCCAGGTGTGAGTGTGACTCACAGCGCTGTTCTGTGTCTCAGCCAGCTGACAGGTCCGTCCTGTCCTCGGCCCTGGCAGGGTCGGCTGCCGTACGTGCGCTGCGTTGTCGGTCCCCAGTTCAGTAACGGTCGCAGAGTCCAGATGTCGGTTCAGAACGTGATGAAGCCGATCCTGCTCAACAACATCTTCTCATCACTGGAAGGCAGAGTGGAGCCAGGTACGCTCTGCTGACTACACACAGAGACAGGTGAATGTGCCACAGTGGTAAACCTCAGCATCTCCCTGTCAGACCAGTACATCATACTGGGAGCTCAGAGGGACTCTCTGGGTCCGGGAGCCGTGAAGTCCGGAGTTGGAACTGCGATCCTGCTGGAGCTGGCTCGCACCTTCTCAGCCATGGTGAAGAAGGGTAAGACTCACCTGTGGTGGTGGGAGCTGAAATGATGCTGGCATTACTTTGGTGTGTTGGTTCCTCTGATTTGTCTGAACTGATGGATTCATCTACAGGCTTCAGTCCAAGACGCAGCTTGTTGTTTGTCAGCTGGGATGCTGGAGACTTCGGGAATGTTGGAGCAACCGAATGGCTTGAGGTTCAGCCACAGCAAATACAAACCAAACCAAATTTATCAGTTTATCAAAATAACTGCCTGACCTTTGACCTTCCTTTGACAGGGTTATCTGTCCATGCTTCACCTGAAGGCTGTGGCCTACTTCAGTCTGGACCAGGCAGTCATGGGTAACAGAGCTTGAAGCCAATCAGAAAGCATTTTCTTTGCTAACCAAACGCGGTGTCTTATGTTGTCCTTCTCATCAGGTGATGAGGTCCTGTCAGCTTACACCAGTCCTCTCCTGGTTGACCTGCTGGACGCTGCCATCAGACAGGTGAGTGTGATGCATCTGTGATGCATTAATACTGAGCGCAGCCTGTGGTCACACAGCTGGATGGAGCTCATCGCCCTCACACATTTATTAAAAAAAATAATGTTAACCCTATTTTTTTGGACCCAGAGTCCCTCAGGGATCTATACATGGACAACAGCTGACCTTTGTGTACATGCTATGGAGATGACACACTCATTTGCAATAAACACAGGTTTTAATATAATATATGAATTGAACCCCAAGATTTAGTTCTTCTGTCCATTTTGTGTGGCTGAAGTATAATTGTTGGATCATCTATGTATGCACGGTTGAGATTATCGTTTTTGAGTTGGGAACGATCCCAGACAAGCCCCAATCATGCAACAGTAAAAGCATGAATCTGTGACCACACTACAGCTAAATGTATCTACAATTAGCTTTTATTCACGAAGGTGAGTCTGGACTGTCTGTGCCATTGCCTCTAAAAGACTAAATTACTGGACAGAGAATGGCCTTATTTTCCAGCCTCTCTTAACCATGTATCAACCAAGAATCATGCAAGCCTGGGATGATTTTCTAACTTTGGCTGTTAAATGAAAAATAAATCATCCTCATGTTTCAGAAAACGTTTTAATTTTTGCTGTAGCCCATGATGGTTGAAGAGTAGGGTCATGTGAAGTGTACATTAGGCCTTGTGCTACCATGATACACTAAATATTCCCATAAACCTCATCTTCTCAAACAGAAATAGAGTCACACTCATTTAAAGATTGCTTGTAAACTGGGCCCATCAGTAGAATAGAATAGAATAGAATTCAACTTTATTGTCATTGCACATGTCACAAGTACAAGGCAACGAAATGCAGTTTGCATCCATCCAGAAGTGCTTTGGCAATAATATAGATATATTACATTATATGGATCTATTATAGGTATGTTACAATGTACATGTATGAAGGTATGTTATGAATATGCTATAACTATAAGTATGTACAGGCTGTGGTAAATAAAGGGTTAACCGCAACAATCAATTGATTACCAATCAATTAATCATCCACATGATGCTGTGCATGAGTGGGCCTTCATGTGTTCCAGGTGGAGCATCCCAAACATGCAGGTCAGAGCATCTACAGCCAGGCGGAG